GTTTGTGCATGCAACTGATCGCAAACATAGATGAGTTGTTGTTGATAAGGAGACCCTAATCTATACATATATTGGTTTTTTATGATGAATGGTTTTAAATGATTAGAAATGATTTTAATCTTTCTTTCACAACAAAATGGCATAAGAAGTGTTTTAAATCATTAACATGTTAGTGCTAAAAGTATTAATCCTTTATTGATTAGTGTAATAGGCCTAAAGATTGAAAATCTAGGTTTCTAGTAATAATAATTGATTACATAAGTGATATAATTTGATAGACTAAGCCAAAACACTTAGAAGGCAAAACAGGGCAAAACACTCTGTTATAATCGATTACATTAGTTACATAATCGATTAAAACATAGAAAAAGGAATAATATGTTATACAAATAACATAATCTGTTACGAAAGGCAAATAGATGACTAACAAGGCTAAGTGGAAAAATAATCAATTACTTAAGTTCCATAATCGATGAAAACAAAAATAATGTCTAATCCATATACAAATAACATAATTTGTTAGGTTAGTTGAAAGAGACAATTATAAGCATAAATGTCTAAATAATGGATTACGTAAGTACCATAATCAATTAAAAACAGAAGGAAAAGCTAATAGATTATGATATTAACATAATCGATTAAATTGTGACAATATTTGGTTTTTTCTATATAAAACCAGACTTGAGACCTAATTCTTTAACGTTTTAATTGACATATGCTAACATTCTCTCTGAGATTTGAGTAAGGTTTCTCAAGAAGTGTTCTTGGAGGATTTCAAAGCTTCATTGGTGATCAAGAAATCAAGAATCATTCAAGATCAATTAGACTTCATTTGGACTGATACTATGCACTATATAAGTGTGTTCTAATCACTTTATCATTCATTTAAGTGTTGTGACACCTGTGCTGAGTTAGCCAGGTTAGAGATTGATAGTTTCATCTCTTGTATTGGTGGAGAGTGAGTGTTTTTTCTCTTGTTTGTGTTGTATTCAGATTTGATAGTGGTGGCGATAACAATTGAGGGTTTCATTGTATTCTCAAACTCAAATTTAATTTAGTGGATTGCCTCTCAACTCAGGTTGTTAAAAGAAAAACTGGATGTAGGCTTGTGAGAAGTTGAATCAGTATAAATCTTTGTATGCTTTGATCTTTCTTCACCTTTCTTTATTTTGTTGATTCATTTATCTTGTTTATTGATTTAAAAGATTCAAGAATTCTTTAAAAATTTGAAAAAATATTTTGAAAAAGGTTTAAATACAATTCACCTCTCTTGGATTGAGATATAAGGGCTTCTATTTTAACAATTGAGATAGTGATAGACAAAGTTTATGCAAGGGGAGGAATTGAGAAATTCCTAAAAGCAAGTCAGGATGAAAGAAAACTATGACAAAATGGTTCTAATAAGAACATTGTTGGATAATCCCCCACTCCAGCCGACCATCAAAAGACTAGGTGAGAGGTCCCTATTTCACCGATGACACCCCGTCAACATCACTTCATCGTGTGTCTTAGACAAAGTGCTCAGTGTTAAACTCTTACCACCACCCGAAAAAGTTAGAACTTTTTTGAACATTGACGACAGTAAGCATTGTCGATACCATCGCAACCTGGGGCACACCATGCAGGAATGTACCATGTTGAAAGATAATAATGAAGAGCTTATCCAAGTCAGACACTTAATGAAGTTCATAGGTGCCAGTGAAGCTCCCAACGTACTCGATAGGAGTTGTGAGATAGCAAAGATATAAGGACCACAAAAAACGACCACGTCCAAGATGCAATAATATCAAGAAGCCAAAATAATCCTTAAGAAGGCACGAACCACACAATACATGGGGTTTGTCAAAGGTGGTTACACTTCTTCAACTTATAACTGACACATTCGAGTGTTGCAATCAACATGGTGCAAAGACCCTGAAGAAGCATGCCAACTTTAACCTTTAAGGACTTCGATTTTAAGGCTCTTGATTCTAACTAGGGCAACCCCATGGTCATATTGGTTGAATTAGCCAATTTATGTGTGAAAAGACCCACGTTAAACAAGGAAGCTCAATCAACACCTTGTACAAGAAAACTTTCTTAACGTTGGACATCTTTGAGGAGTTTATTGTACCACATATTGAGTATATTGTCTTCTTTTCAAGAGAGAAAGTCGACAAGAAAGGCTATATAGACCTCCGTACAAGGATTGTAGATGAAGAATAAAGTAGTATAGTTATTAGAGTGCAATATTTGTTGATGGAGGTAAATGTGTCCTGTAATGTGTTGTTATGACGGTCGTGTTTGAATTCTTTAAGATTGATCGTCTCCACCCACACTTAACCATGAAATTCCCCTCAGGTAGAGAGGACAAAGTAATTATACATGTGGATAAGGAAAATGACAAGGGCATACGACAAGATTTAAAGTCAACCCCTTTAACCTTCCTCAAAACAAGAGATGATTTGGACCTCCGATTGAATATTGTCGATCGATTTGAACCGAAAAAAGAAACAGTTAAGTGAAGGCTAAGATGCCTCGACCTATGCACTAAGGTTGGTAGTGGGTTAACCAAAGAATAATGTTATCTCATAACCAAGGTGTTGGAAAGAAACAAGGATCTGATTGCGTATACGTCATTAGATATACTCAGAATACTTCTAGGTGTCATGTCTCATAAATTATCGATCTATAGGGACACTTGGTTTGTAGCACAAAGAAAAAAAGGTTAGGGGAAGAAAAAAGAAAAGTCACTAAAACAAAAGAGAAGAAAATGATCTAAGCGAGATTTATCAAAGAAATTAAGTACACCACATGGCTGCAAACCTCGTGCTAGTGAAAAAAATCAAACAGTCAAGGAAGATATACTGATGGAGGAAAACAAACTAGAAATCAAGGAAGTATGATTGAACAAGAAAGAATGAATTTTAGACAAATACTAACTTCAAAGGCTCTAAAATCACACTTAGGGCTACAAACATGAAAAAAAGACTCACTTGTAGGGTTATATTGCTAAGGACCACCCCTGGAACAACCAGAAAATCACCATTGGGCACTAAGCTGACTCGTTGAGTAACATTGTGTTCGTTTGGGTGAATGGTACTATTTATGCGTATTGGAGAAGACACATTTGTGAATGAATATGTGTTTGTTTTGGTAATGTAAAAGCTAGTGAGAGCGTAGATTTGAGGGATGAGTACAACTTTTTTACCCTACCACAAAGCTCGAATTTGCATAGATTTAAGAGAAAATGTCGAAATATCCCTCAAATTTAATCGATTCCAATACATGACACAAGAAAATGAAGGTGTATTTTGTTCCACAATCAGGTGTATTCGGTTCCAGCTAAGAATGGAAAAACTATATTCAATTCCAAATGGAAGATATTCAATTACAATATCTCCTATTGGATTCCACAAGCCATGTATTCGGTTTTAGTTGCATGTTATCTCTATATATTTTTTCTGTTGGCATCATTAATAATAATAATAACAATAATAATTAATAATAATAATAACACTACCAATAATAATAATAAAATATCTTTCGTGGGAAAGCCAATTTGCAGTATATTTAGTTGGACTCTAATAGCATTCACGGAATCTTATATTCAATTATTGTAAATTGTTCTTCCTTAGTACACCTCAACGCAAAGGATAACACTCTTATCCAACTTCTTCCTCTCATCTAAAAAACCATGTTGAAGTTTTATATGCTTTCCCTTGTGAATCAACTTTCCAGTTCAATCCTCACCTTCATGCTCTACCCTTACAAAACTCAGAGTTCATATTCAATTCTTTAACAAAGTTTTTCATGATGCAAAATGGGAAATGCAACAATATTTTTTTTAAAGGGTTTGAATGTTAAAAAAATTGCATTATTATGCGAAATTTATCTTGTAATTGATTCATTTGACAACTTTATTGAAAACTCCTAACCTTTATAAAAATTTATTATAAAAATTTATTTACTAATTTTCTGTGGGTTAAATATGTTTTTAGTCTCTAAATTATTAGCCGTTTCTGGTTTTCGTCCTTATTTCAAAGTAAGGTACAATTTGGTCCTCATTCTTTTCGAAATGTTCGTTTTAATCCTCGGAATTTTGGTTTTAGTCCTCATTTGTTGCTAAATGAGGATCAAATTTTTAAATAGTGTTTAGTTTTCGAGGACTAAAACGAACGTTTTCGAAAAGAATGATGACCAAATTGTACCTTACTTTGAAACAGGGACGAAAACCAGAAACGACCAATAGTTTAGGGACTAAAAACATATTTAACCCAATTTTCTGTTGATGAAAAAGTGATTGGAGATTTATTGAAATTAAGTTGTGGAAAAAAAATATAATTATAGAAATTAATGATAAAATTTGTCACAATAATAAAATTATAAACTACAAAATTATAAAATAACATCTATTAACAAAAACATGATAACAATCACATAATTCAACTAAAAGAATAAGCAAACTTAATTGAAAACTATATTTTTTTAAATATTCAATAAATCACAACTAATTATTAGATACTTAACTAAATATATCCAAATTTATTAACATAAAACTTAATAAAAGTTAAAAATTAATATGTATGTCTATTTATTTTTATGACGAATGTAAAATATTAAATTAAAATAATAAATACTATTACAAACCACACAAAAGATTCTGGTAGACTTTCAATTCTCAATTATCCTAAAATTTAAATAAAAAATGAAAAAGAGTTAAAAATTGGGATAGTCTTCCTAGAAGACCTCTTCCGAAAGAAGAACGAACCAAAAGACAACAGGTACCTTCAAATATTTCTGCGAACAAGCACATTCTGCCACGTCATCGATCCGAGTGACCTTCCGCAAATATATCTTCAGCCGTCGGATAGCTATCCTTTGTTTATTCCTAGCCGTCCATTTTCACGAAAAGATGAACAAAGGATAGTTGTAACAGAGGGATGAAATTTTTTTCTTTATCTTTTTAATTAAATTTCTTTCCAATTTTTAATTTATTTATGCTCCTTTAAATTCAATCCTCAGATCCTTGCTAGAGTCATCCGTATCATACTCATCACTTTCCTTAAATTTTTTTAACCTTCCTCTATTAAAGTTTCCAGATTTTTGGTGGGGTTCGTTGAGGGTACTGTGCGAGCTTTTCAGCGTCTTCACAGCCTGCAACTTCGATGGCCACTGAAGAGGTTAATAAACCTCAGTCACTTCCTCCATACCCCGAGGTAATTTTACACCAAAATCCAGCTTCTAATTTTGAGTTTTTTCTTTCCATAATGAAAATTTCGAACAGATTTCCTACCAAAGCTGTAGATTTCTCACTGATCTAACTGATCTATACATTTTCACCAACTTCGGTTTCTTGTTTTGCCCACCCTGCTCGATTTTTAGCACTTGTTGAGATTTTCGAGGAACTTAAGAAGCCGGGAAAGAAAAAATGTTTTTAATTATTTGGCTTGTTATGATTGTTTTGTATTCGTGCAAGCTCAGGACGCGAGTCGTGATTTTCCGATAGAGACTTCGTTTTTGAGAAACTTCTATTTTGTTAACTTTGGGTGGTGTTGATGTAGCTGATACTGAAAGCGATTGAAGCTCTGAGTGAACCAAGTGGATCCAGCAAATCAGCAATATCAAAGTACATAGAAGCGATCTATGGTGAGTTGCCAGACTCAACCGTTTTGGGTAATGAACTGAACAAGATGAAAGAGAGTGGAGAGCTTGTGTTCAATAAGAACAACTACATGAAAGCTGACCCAAGTGCCCCACCAAAGAGGGGCCGTGGAAGACCACCAAAGCCAAAGGCCCCTGTGCCACCAGGCACCGTCGTCTCCCCTCCGCGGCCAAGGGGTCGTCCCCCGAAGGACCCAAACGCGCCTCCGAAGTCTCCAAAGCCCAAGCCCACCCCTGGAAGTGGCAGGCCAAGGGGGAGGCCAAAGAAGATTCCTCGGTCTCCGACGGCGGCGTATCCGGCCGCCGTATCCAGCGGAAGGCCCAGGGGTAGGCCTCCAAAGGTGAAGCCTCAGTTGACAGAAGTGAGCGTTGAGTCATAGAATTGTTTCTTTATTTGGGTGCCGAATGTAGTGTTCCTACTCTTTATAAGTGGTCGGTGTGAGTTTAGATTCTGTGTTGATGTAATTTCGTTGTAAAATTATGTAGTGGTAGCTGACTTACTAAGAGGCTTTCGTGTTTGTCTTCCCTCCCGATCATCGAAAGAGAACAGTATCTTGTGCTAATTCTCGCGTTCTAACTTGTGAACCCATGATGTAGAAAAAAGGTTGTTGTTTGAGAATTAATGTGGTTATTTATCTGGGTAGATCCGTGCCATAATACATTTAAAGGGAATCGGACAACGTAGCAGGACCCTAGAGACTGAAAAAGGAGAGTCTGGTAGTGATGATGTAATAAATTTGACTGTGTTTGATATATGGACATGAACCTATGGAGGAACCTCGTACGACACAATCTGTTTTCCCATGTTTCTGTGGATAAGACATCTCCAGCGTGGTGTGAAGTCGTTGTTGTTTCCTTGAAGGGGGAAATAAGACGGTCTGGTTTGACCGGCAAGCCTAGTGCCTGTATTATCTTTCCATCATCTTAACTGTGAGGGTGACATAAATTGGTAATGTCAGCAATGTAATTATCTGCTTAGTCACGTTTTGGGATTAAAACTTGGGGTCATGAAATCTTATGGACATTCAAGCTTTGGAATCTCCTTCATTGGTTTGTGTCTAGCATCTTGGATGTGACGTCGTTTAACCTCGCGATGTTGTATAAATTACTGTCTCCTGATTATTGAATTATGAGACCATATGTTATGTGTCATTCATGTATTTGATGTCCAGTATGTTTGTTCAATTGTAATAATCTTCAATCCCAGAAAAAAATTATGTGGGAGTTTTTAACAAAAATGATTTATTAGATGATATGTGTGATCGATAAGTATCGTTTACCTATTAACTTAAAAGAGAACTAATGCCACTTTTCTATAGCTTTACTAATTTATTGGATAATTACTTATAATTAAAATGTATTGGTAACATTTGAAAAGTCAAGTCCCTCTTAATGGTTTTAAATAACGTGTTTGGTAATGAAACCAAATTACTCATGAAGACATGTTTACTCAAATTTATGCATTTAACAAATTTATCATATTTTTCTCGAAGTTATCATATTTGTATTTAATTTATTGAAGTTGTGTTTGTTTTTGAAGAGGAATTTACGGGGAGAAAGATCAAAATTAGATTGAAAAAAATAATAAAAAATGAAGAAAAATAACAATTTTTTAATAAAATTTAGTAATTTTGATTGATTAAAAAAATATTTTAATTGATAAATTAAGTGATTATCAATTTTTATCCTAAAATTTAATAAAGTATTTGTTTATTCTAAGATTCTCCTTTCTTTCGTGACAAAAAAATTATGTTTTAAATGTAAAATTGAAGTTAAGTTATGTCATGAAAATCAAGATTTCAAATCTTTTAAAATATATGAAGCATTGTCCATCTACAAAACATTTCAATAGTTCTTTGATTGATCCTCCAACAAAATCAATTTTATCTTCATTATCAGTATTGTTTTCTTGAAATGATTTCAAATGGATAATGATACTTTGACAACATTTTTTTGACAACATTTTTTTGATAACATTTTAACATCATCTACGTGTCATTCTGTGATTGATTCAAAATCATTCCACAATCAATAATAATAATCATAAACACTAACATAGACCAATCACAGAATGACACATAAATAATGTTAAAATGTTGTCAAAAAAATGTTGTTAAAGTATCATTATTCGATTCCAAATATTGTAATTTCTCCCATCAAACGGTGACGAAACAAAAACAAATGTAAAACTTTCAGTGAGATGAAGATGATTTAGTGAGACAAAACTTAAAATAAAATAGTTGAAAAGTTAAAAAGAATAATAAATTTTGACTTGTAATCATTAAAATGTTATTACATGAATACAAAAATTATCCAACTTATATATACTTATGCATCTTTCTTTAAGAGAAAAGGTAAAGTAGTTAATTAGTATATAACTAACTATATTTAGTACTATTACAATGTCCATTCCTACCTTATCGTCATCGTTTACTACTTATTTCTAGCTAGTGCTTATTATATGTTGTTATCACGTTCTACGACTAACTACTTATTATAAGTATTTATAGAATACTCCAAAGTTTACTATTTTACTTTCCAACTATATAATTACTCACTTAATTATAGCTATTTTCAATGAAAAATAAATTAGATAATTATAGGATTAAAATTATAGATTATTTGTTATCTGATTGGAGGAAGATATTAAAAAGTGGTTTTTAAGCCTAACTCGTATAGTGAAGTGTGCACCAAACTTATATATTATAATTTGGTCTTATTATTAGTTAATGTGGAACTTCCAACAAAACATAATGCCTACATAAATCTTGCTAGGATAGACTCTAACAATGATTTTGATACCGTTAAGAAGTGAAATTTAAGCATAACTCAACCCCATAAAACCGGCTTGTAAGGTGAAATTTGCACCTACTTATATATTATAAATTGACCTTATATCTAATTGATGTGCGACTTCCAACACACCCCTAGATAAAGACATTTTGAGCGTGAAAGTATAATTAATGGGTGGTCCGATGGTGGCCCGACAACGAGTGGAACAGAATGCTCACATAGATCTCATTAGAAAAAGCTCAAACCATAAGTCTGATATCATATTAAGAAGTTCCCACAAAACTGACTTGTAAGATCTTATACCAATTTCACACTCATCGAAAACCAAGTACGAGAAATATGAGTTTTTATAATTGGAATGGGTAATCAAATCTATACCTACGTTTTATTCTTAATTATATAAGTAGTTAAATCTAAGTAAAATTTAATGGTAAAATTTAAAAAAACAGTACTGGAAACTAATGTTCATATTAAGGGTGACAATGCCTATTTTGGTCCTATGGCAGTTGGAACATAGTAAATATTTTGAGTTTTTATTAACTAATATTCGTAATTGAAAAATTAAAATAATAACTATTTTTATATTTTAAGTTATTTTATTGTAATTAATAATTAAAATTAAAATTATGAGGCTTAATAATTTAAGCTTTAATTTTATTGTATACTTATATTTTTCAAGTAATACATAAAAATTTATTTATTTTTAAATATTATTTATTTTAATTTGTATTAAAATATAGGTCAAATTCCATCTTTACTCTTATAATTTAATGAGGGTTACTCCCTACATCACCCCATATTACTCCCTGCACCACCACATTTTTTTTAAATTTCAAAACTATCTTTTATATTTTAGAATATCCTATACCCCACCTCTTTTCTTAAACGAATGTCGACATCCGTTGAAAAAAAAAAATTCTTCAACGGATGTGCCACATCCGTTGAGGTTTTTTTTTCTTTCTAATTTTTAGTTTTTTAAGTTATTGTATTTTAAATTAATATGTAAATATTATTTAATTTTTTTAAATTTATTACTTAATTATTTATAAATTAATTTTATTTTATTTAATAAAATAATTATTATTAATTTAATTTATGTATTATTATTTAAATAATAAATAAAATATTTTGTATAAATCTATTAAAACGGATGTGGCGACATCCGTGAAGTTTTTTTTTAAGTCTTTAATTTTTTAATATATTGTAATTTAAATTAATATATAAATATTATTTAATTTTTTGAAAATTATTATTTAATTATTTATAAATTAATTTAATTTAATTTAATAAAATAATAATTATTAATTTAATTTATGTATTATTATTTAAATAATAATTAAAATATTTTTTAAGAATTTATTGAAACG